GAGAGGCTTTTTGAGCATAGACAAGACTCTGGCTTGTCTATCAGCCAGGGTGTAGTTGGGGAGCGGGGTCATGGGGAGACAGAAGCTTCCAGCTAGAGGATGAAGGATGGAGCGATGCCCCAGGGGAGGCCAGATGGGAAGGGAGCAGAGCATGGCGTGACAGTAATTTGATCACATAATGTTAAATGCACTTCGAGCTCCATGGGAAATCTCCTGGGGTGGTCAGCCTGGGTTGGTTGGGAGGAGATGCTGGAAGTTGGACAGTACACAGCATCTACTACATACCCTTGCCCTCCCCTCCAGCCCCTGCCCCACCTACACTGGCAGGGGCTGGTCGGGGGGCAAGCGTACGTATCTAGAGGGAAAGAAGGCAGGCGCCTGTCTGGTTTTGAGCACTGAGAGTGATGGCTGAGCACTTCTGCAGAGCCCAGCTACCCCTCTGCTGCCAGGGAGCTAGGGAAATAAAAACCTTACATGTATGTGCCTGAGCCCTGGCCAGTGCCTTACTTCCCTGGGACTGTGGACAGAACTTCCACTCTTCCAGCTGATGCTCAGGCCCCTCTAGGGACAGCAGGCTGGCTCAGGACTGGTCAGTTGGGGCTGGCCCCTTACACACCACTCTCTGCCAGTCCCAGATCTTATTTCCATGTGGGGACCAAGGAGGCAACTTCCCAGCCTCCACCCCTCTGGCACCCTTGGGGGATAGGGGTTAGGGGCCAGCCCCTGTACCCCCTCCATTGGGAGCTTCCCTGAAACTTTCTTAGCTCTGCACCTCCTTACAGGATAACCTGCTTAATTTTTTTTAATGTTTATTTATTTTTGAGACAGAGTCAGAACATGAGCAGGGGGGAGGGGCAGAGAGAGAGGGAGACACAGAATCTGAAGCAGGCTCCAGGCTCTGAGCTGTCAGCACAGAGCCCAATGCGGGGCTCGAACTCATGAGCTGTGAGATCATGACCTAAGCCGAAGTTGGATGCCTAACCAACTGAGCCACCCAGGTGCCCCTACAGAATAACCTATTTAAAAATGTAATCCTCACAGAAATCCTGGGCGAAAGGCATTATTTCTGTCTTTACACAGAAGGCGTGGAGGCTGCTCTGTACCCTGAGATCTGGCTCAGACCAGTCTGTGCTCTCTGCTTTACTGCCTCTCCTCAAGGCAGCCACAGTTGCTCCCTGGCACCAGCTAGCCCTGTGTCCCCTGTCAGGTGCCCTAAACCACAGCCCAACAAAGAGGAAGGGCTCCCGTGAGGTGAGCCTGGGGGCAATTTTGGCCCCCAACCACCTAAAGCCTGTCCCAAGGAGCTTTTGAGACAGGCCGGCGCTCCTGGAGCTCGGCCCACAGCTGGGCCCTTACTTGAGAGGTAGCTGGTGATTGGGGATGACTGAAAAAGTGGAATGGGGACGAAACAGTGGTTATGAAGAGTTTTTCAAATGCTCAAAAGAGGATAGAAAGACTTAAAAGAAAAAAAAAATCCTCCGAGGATGTAGTGGCTTCGGGTCCTTTGTAGGACAAGGATCGAAGAGAGAGGGGCAGAGTCAGACAAGAGCTACGCGGGGCACACCGTGCCTGGACTGCAGGCTTCATGAGCCCTGGGCTCCAGGCGAGGGTCCCAGGGTGGCCCCTCCCTTTTGCAGGGCAAGCTGCTCCTGAGAAGGGCGTGGGGATCTGATGGCCCTTGGGCAGAGCAGGGGTGACTTCCTTAGGGTCCCTGCCTCTTCTCAGGAGACCCAGGCAGAGCCAGAAGATCGCCCACCTAGCAGAGAATTATAGCACCCTCCACCCCATCAGCCCCAGGGGTCATGGGCCCTGCTTAGGGCAGCCAAAAGCCAGGCCAGCTGAGCCCTGATGAGCAGACACAGGTGCAGGAAGAGAGGCGCCAGGGCAGACAGGAGCCAGCTCGGCGCTCCCCTCAGGAAGTTTGGCTACTGACCAGGCTCTGGGGAGACTGAACATTTCCCACGGAATAAGAATCACCTCAGTCTATACCTGAGGACGAGGGGGAGTCAGGCAGGACCAGGCAAGAGGATGGCGGTAGGAAGGTATGGTGTTACCCCACGCCCGAGGGTGACAGATGTCCTGAGGGCAATTCCGAAGGGAGGGCATTCCAGATAGTCCTAGGGCTTGTCCTGGCCGATCTGGCCCCAGCAGCTCTTGGATGTCATTCTGGTGTCCTTGCTCACACCAGCTTCCATGAGCTTCTGGACACAGCTCCGGTCCTCCCTGGCAGGCATCATCTCTGCAGGCATGAAGCCTGCCCTTCTGTCTCGGGGTCTATAGTGGCCCGACCTGGGAGCTCCTTGCTGCAGAGTAATGGCCCCCTTCTCTGTAGATGGTGAGAAGCATCTGGGGGAGCCCTGGTGTGGGCGTGTCTTGCCGTAGGGGAGCTCTGGTGTGGGGTGTTCTACTGTAGGGGAGCCCTGGTGTGGGGGTGTCCTGCTGTGGGGGATCCCTATGGGCAGTCCACTAGGACAACAGAGGCATTGCAAAATTCACCCTGAATGGAGACACACTGGTAACTGCTATCTTCTCTGAAATGCTTCCCAGCTAAGATGGACTGATGGATGGTCAGGGGGACTGACATGTGACACAGCAACTTGAACAAATGCTAAGGTAGAACCTCAGTGGTGGCTACGTGGGTGCTCACTGTAGAACTCTTCAGATGTCTATAAAAAAAATAAGTGTCTGGGATAGCATTGACCTGAACGTGAAGCCCGAAGGTGTCCATAAAGGTGATTTTCTGCAGATGGGCCCAGCTGGGCAACTCAGCTTGCTCTCAGGAGTCCCCTCTTAGCCTAGAAAGTGTTTTCTTTTGCTCTGTTGTTTTTTACCCTTTGTTCAACCCAAATCAAAGGCAACAACGTATTCCTGTCATCAGTAGAGGCTCCCTGCAGCCATGAATTTCGGGATATGGGATGTGTATTTTGAGAAAGCCCAAGTGGTTCCAAGATACCCCAGTGGGAGCCAGGAAGGCAGGCTGGACTTCGCAAACCAGACAACGTGGCTTCCTGGCAGTCTATGGGTTGTTTCTCTACTATCCTTGCCTCATCTCGGCAGATTTGGGGGTGAGGGGAGGCTACTCTGGGCATAGGGTGGTCAGTGTTTAAGAAAGTAGTACAATCCCTGGGGCTGAAAGAGCGGGTCCACAGTGGGGGCTCACCTGCTCTCCCTGCTATCACTAGGCTAGCACACAGGCTTCCTGGCCTGCCCTGTAGAGCCCACTTGGGAATGGGCTGGAGACTGGTGACTGCAGGTGGCCCTGGTTTGGATAAAAGTTCCTTGTGAAGGGCCTGGTAGGAGGCTTCCCTCCATCTCTGGGAGCCTGGGGCCTGGCCAGAGGCCCACCCAGACCTGGCACCCAGGGTGTGGGACTTTCCCTAGGTCCTTTCTGGACTCCTTCTAGGATGGTCCCCCAGGCCGGGGCCAGAAAGTGGCTTCTGCCAGCATTAGAAGCCAGCCTCGTCCCTGGGGGTAGACATGGAAGTAACTGGGGTGTGCCCAGAGAAGCCAGGAAAGAAAGCTGGCTGGTGGGCATGTTGTGGAAGAAAAGCCAAGGGATATCCTCTAGTTACAACTTGGTGGGGGGTGGCTCCCAGAGGCTCCTCTTTCTTATGATGTCACTGCGGGGCGAGGCCTTTATGGCATTCCACATGATGTCATTGGGGGGGCCTCCACATGATGTCATGGGGATCAAGTCATAAAGTCATTCTTTGTGTTATCAGTAGAGGGTAGGGCTTGCATGGTATTTCATGTGGTGTCATGGGGAGAGGGTGCTTGGGGTAAAGCCAGTCTCCATGATATTCTATGAGACAGCTTTAGAAGAGAAGCTTGATCACATTCCATGTAATGTCCCTAGGGGCCAGCCATCAAGTTATACACCTAGGCCCTCCAGAATTTGCATTTCCAGTGACATCACTGCAGGGGGGACCACGACCAAATTCAGCGTGCTAGTACTGAGGGCCAGGCAGGCAGAATTTGGCTTTGTGCACGATGTCTTTGGGAGTATAGTCTGAGCCATCGGGACACCCCACAGGATGTCCCACACTGGGAGTGTGGCCTTCCTGACATCAGATTGGGTATTCTTGGTGTGTCGCAGCTATCACATTCTGTATGATCATGCCATGTAGGGTAGGGTCCCCCAGACTCTAACATGCTGTGATGTCATGAGTGTGCAGGATTTGGAATGTGGGCCCCATACCTGCACTCCCCACCCCCCACCTTTCTGGAAGTGTGAAGCCAACCACAGAGCACTGGACCCTGCCCCATGTCCCAACTGATCTTGCTTCCCCAGGCTGAGCTGATGGCTTTCCCAGCTCTCTGCCTTCCTGCCACGGGAGCACTAGGCACTTGTCCTGGGATGCTTTTGTGAGGGTGTATTTGTCTTGCCTACTCGCCTGGCAGAGTCTCTGTGGTGATGCTCAATCTTAGCTCTTACATATACCCTCTCTCCTGGAGCCTGCAAAGTGCTCCATGGGTTTTGAGGATACAGATGTTATAGTAGGCTAACTGGTGTAACAGCCCCCAAATCTCAATGGCTTAGAATAGCAGAAGCTTATTTCTCACTCATGCAACATCTGATGCAGTACTTCTTAACGATCTCTCCTCCCAGCAGTGACTCTAGGATTCAGGTCCCTCTGTTGGTGGCTCAGCTGTCCTCTTCTGGGTCCTCTGCATCCAATCAATTGACAAGCAGAGAGAGTGCAGGATGGCAAGCATGGTTGCTAGGGGCAGGCCTAGAAGTGGCATACGTTGCTTCCATCCACATTCCCCTAGCCCGAGCTAGTATCATGGTTGCATTCAGACACAGAGCACTAGGAAATGAGGTAGCCGTGTGCCAGGAAGAGGAATCAGGCTTGGTGAGCAGTGGGTACTGGTCGCAGTGAGTGAAAGAGGAAATGGCGGGCCTCTACTGCATGATCCCAGGCGACTCTTCCCCGAGGACTGGCCCATCCTCAGGCCCACCCTTCGTATGTTCATCCCCCATCTGTCAATTCTCTCAGATCACACCGGGCAGCAAGGCCGCCCAGTCCCAGCTCAGCCAGGGTGACCTCGTGGTGGCCATTGACGGCATCAACACAGACACCATGACCCACCTGGAAGCCCAGAACAAGATCAAGTCTGCCAGCTACAACCTGAGTCTCACGCTGCAGAAGTAGGTGGGAGCTCTCCAGAGCAGGGGGTGGAGCCTGGGGTGTGGGCATCAGGGGCTCGAGAGAGGGGCTGTCTGACAGCAGTCACATGGGCCCAGCCTGTGCTACAGGACTGCACAGGAAAGTAAGGACAGCCTCTGGACCAGAAGGACAGGCCCGAGCCACCATCAAACACCTGCCACATCTGTGCCTCACTTCACAGATGAGGTTTGAGGGTGCGGTGAGGGTGGTCATACTGCTGCCAGCATTTGGGCAGTCAGGCCTGAAAGTCAGGGTCTTCCCTGCCTTCTCTTCACCCCAGACGGCCTCCCAAGGACCTAACAGAGGCTCATGGGTGCAAAGTGCTTAAGGGCCATGATTTCTCCAACCTGGTCAGGCCCAGTGCCTTTCTGGGGTCTCCCAGTTCATGGCGTGTCCTCAGGCTCTCTGACCTCTCCTGTCACCAACTCTGCCCTGGCAGGAGCTCCTGGTTCTGGTCCTAGCAGCAATTGTCTTCACTTGGTGCCCTTTCTGGTTTTTCCAGGTCGAAGCGCCCCGTCCCCATCTCCACAACAGCACCCCCGGTCCAGTCCCCTCTGCCGGTGATCCCCCACCAGAAGGTAGGTGCTGACTGGCTGCGGCAGGCTCCACTCTCCGCTGTGGTCCTGTGGTGGAGCCCCTGATCTGCCTGCCTGACCCTTGCCCCATGGGGGCAAGGTGGTGGGATCAGCCCTGCCCTACCCCTGCCCCTGCCATGGCTGACCCTGAGGGAGGTGGGGCAGGCCTCCAGGGAGAGGCATCCGAGCCCCCATGAAATACCAAGCTACCGAGTGTGGGGGGGCTAGCCAACACCCCGGATCTTGTGGCTGGGCCGGTGGGAAACCAGCTTAGGAAGTGGTGTTCGCAGGAGAGGGATCATCCTTCCAACTAGGTGGGGACAAGTGTCCGGGAGGCTCGGACCCTCATTTTCCTGAGGGTGCTGGGAGGGGGGATGACTGGGGCATGATGCTAGAGGCCCCAGTCTGAGTCAGCCACCCCAGGCTTGAAGGGACCTGCTGCCCCTCAGAGCTTCTCCTCTGACATAGGATCTCTGTTTCTGGTTTCCACTTGCCCTCCTGACTACACGCCCCATTAGCCCACTCAGAAGTGCTAGTGGCAGCCAAACAGCGGGTACAAGGTGGGCACACCTCACCACCGTGACTGCTACCCCTTCCCAGCTCCCTGTAAGCAGATAAACCCCTTGGGCCCAAGCAACTTGGCCCAGAGCATGAGAGGCCCGCCTCACCCGTCCTGCAGGGACCCACTCCCCACCCGTCCCTGAATGACCTCAGACTGACCCCTGTCTGCCCAGTGGGGCAGAGTGGGCGATAGGCAGGGTTGGGGCAGGGGACAGGAAGAGGTTAACCCAGAGTCTGGGGTGGGTGACAGATTGGGGAAGTGAGCAGAGGGCTACTTGGGAAAAGTGGCAGAGGTGGCCTGTGGGAACCAAATGTCAGCCCCCGGATACCCCCCTGCACCTCCACCCTGCCTGTCCACCGCCAGCCCTGGGGGCCCTCTCACTGGCCATGTGGGGGCATCTCAACATGGGGTCAGTGGAGCAGGCCAGGCTGTGCCCACCGCCATCAGGAGGCCAGGAAGCACCACCAGGTTCTTCCACTCAGGGGAATAGGGAGCAGACAGAGGATGGAGGGAGTTGCCCCCAACCAGCAGAGACCCACCCCCCCTTTCCTCCAGCCCCGTAAGCAGGCTGGCTTGGCCTGGCCTTCCGTGTGGGGCTTGCACTTTGTCCAAGTGGGTGTTAGCCTCAGGGCCAGGGACTGTATGCCTCCCTCCCTCCCTCGCCACCCTCCCCTCGGCCAAACGCTTCCCTTTCAGGAATCTGGGCGGCCCCTCTTGAGCTCTGTGCAGCGGGCTGCAGGCTGCGGGGTGGTAGGCTGCTGGGCGCTTGCACTAACACCTCTGTTTCAGGTCCATGCAGACGCACTGGGACACGTGTGGCCTCTAACTGCTCTCTTCTCTCTCCCCTGCATGGCGCTGCCCTGTGCCAGGACCCTGCTCGGGACACGAACGGCAGCCTGGCGGCGCTCAGCCCCAACCCTGAGGCGAGGGCCAGCCCGGGCACCCCGGGCACCCCGGAGCTCAGGCAGACCTTTAGCTCCTCCTTCTCCCAGACCTCCGTCTTCTCCTCACACACAGAGGCCTCTGACCCCGGCCCTCCATGGGGCAGCCCACAGGCCAAGGCCAGCCCGGAGGGAGCCCTGGACTCACTCAGCCTGAAAGTCCCACAGGGCTCGAGCCAGCCAAGGCAGTATAACAACCCCATTGGCCTGTACTCGGCAGAGACCCTGAGGGAGATGGCTCAGATGTATCAGATGAGCCTCCGAGGGAAGGCCTCAGGTGCTGGACTCCCAGGAGGGTAGGTAACGGGTGCGCAGCTCTCCGCTGGTGGTCTGGGGCCACCGGGGTCCTCAGTGCTCACAGAGGCCTGGCCGGGCGATCAGAGCGAGGAGCTGGCCTCAATCGGCTCATGAGGCGGCACAAGCTGAGAGCAATACAAGTAATGATGCCGTTGGTATATTTGCCATGAGCTGGATGTGTCATTGCTTTACACAGCCTGGCGTGACGTGTTGGCTCCTGCAGAGGGGGGACCTGAGGCTCAGAGAAGGTTAAGTCGAAGTCCAGCTGTCCAGCTTCTAAGTGGCTGAGCAAAGCCCGAATGTGAGACACTGACTCTCAAAACGTTCACACCAGCCCGTTTCCCAGGATGGGATGAAGCCTGCTCCCTCTAGGAACTCTGGAGCAAGCCTCAGGCTGGTGGCCTCTAGGAGCCCTGAGGCAGGAGCAGGGAAGAACTAGAGAGGTGGGAAGGCAAGTTCCTTAAGGCTGGGAGTGGTCTGGGCAGGCTGCCTGGAGAAGGGAGCACTTGAGCTGGGTGCAGAAGATTCAGCAATGGAGTGAGTGTCAGGGGCTTGTAGGACTGACCCTCGATAGAACAAGGCAAGGAAGCAGGACCGGGAGGAGAAAGGGGCTGTGCAGGAGAATAGTAGCCTAATCTCCACCCCCTGAGCTCTAGCCGATGGACTCTGCAAGTGTAGGAGCTAAAAGAACCTATAGTCGGGGTGGGCATCACGGAGAGGCCGAGGGGAGGGAGCCCCCAAGCTGAGCACGTCCTAGCTTCTAAGCCCTTCATGCTTGTTAGATCTCATTCTAACTTTGCCCATGCGTTTGGTATAATTGTCTTCTCCTGCTCTAGAGGCAGAGTAGGCTGAGGCAAGGCGATAGGGGCGAGTGCTTAGGGGTTCAGGGCTCCTCCTCTGTATAGGGACATGAGCCTGTCCATGTCTCAGGGTTACTGGCAGGATGGAAAGAGACCCCACATGCGCAGCACTGAGCTCTGTTCTGGAACACTTGCCGTGTGCTACCTGAAGCTGTTGCCCTCGTGAGTCAGAATTAGAACCCGAGTCAGTCTGACCCACGCCCATGCCCTCCCACTGCTCTTGCTACAGAAGGTACCTGTGCCCCACCAGTTCACTGCTCCCCTCCGTTTCCCAGTTTCCCCATACCCTTCAGCTCTTCCTGGGATCCTGAGTGAAGCTGGCCTTGGATGTTTCACAGGCCGGGCACCTGGATCCAGGCTTCCTTGGACCAAACTGGCAAAGTCATAAACTCCTGGGCTTTTTCCAGCAAGAGGCTTCTGCCAGAAAACTCAAGGAATGGCAGAGTAGAAATGACGTCCTTCTGGTAGCTTTCTCTGGTCCTCTCTAGGATTGGCTCCTGGCAGGGAAGTCAGCCTCTGACAGATTGAGACCTCCATGAGGGCCACCATCAGTGACAGTAATGTCTCCCCTTACTGAGCCCTCAGTCTGGACTGGGAGCCCTAAGGCAGTCTTGTGCTTTATGTAACACACTCTCTCAGCAAATTCAGAGTTGGGTATCACTTTCCCCATTAAAAAAATTTTTTTTAATGTTTTATTTATTTTTGAGACAGAGAGAGACAGGGCATGAGCAAGGGAGGGGCAGAGAGAGAGTGAGACACAGAATCTGAAGCGGGCTCCAGGCTCTGAGCTGTCAGCACAGAGCCCTACGCGGGGCTCAAACTCACGAACCGTGAGATCATGACCTGAGCCAAAGTCAGACGCTTAACCGACTGAGCCACCCAGGCACCCCTCCCCATTTTATAGCTGGAAAATAGAAGGCCAGAGTGGGTAATCTGCTCAAGGTCACACACAGCTCATGAGTGGCAGATGGGGCTGGTACCCAGGTCAGCATGACTCCTGGTGGTGGGGACCTAACTACCTGCCCAGGAAAGTCAAAGGCCAGTCCCACCCCTGCTTCCCATGGTTCCAGTGGTGCTTTCCTGTTGGTGCAGAACCTGACAAGGGTTAAATTGTTACTTGAACAGCAGGTCAACAGTTTCTCCAAGGTAGACAGACTGGGGGAAGGAGTGCAGTGTTTCATCCACAGTAGAGGCTGATGCCGTGGTCTCTGGGCAGTGCTGGCTGGAAGGGTGGAGCCTCTGACCTGGGCTAGCCAAGCCAGCCTCTGATGGGCTGAGGCCACCACCTTTGCTGAGTGTCTGAGTGCTCGAAAGTGACAGGGTTGGCAAATGCTAATCCTCACATCCATCTGTTGTACCCCAAACCCATGCTGAGGGCTTTACACTCAGGATTCTGTTTAATCCGCACAGCTCGCCCATACGGTGGGCACCACCATCTCGATTTTGTGAATGAGGACACTGAGGCTGAGGCGGGTGGGGAACAGCGCAGAGTCACAGTGCTAAGAAGATGCAGGGTCAGGATTTGAACTCTGTCCTGCCTAGCTCCAAAAGGAAGCTCCTTCCCCTCCTCTCTGGGCAGCTTGCGATGTGATTTCTTGGCAGCTTGAATCCTCTTGGGAGGAGTGGAGAGAACAAAGGCTGGGCTGGAGCATCCCTGCAGCACCACCCCACCCATCCCGCCCGCCTTCTCATCCTCTGTGAGCTGGCCCTGAAGGGCAGTATCCCGCAAGTCACTAAATGCAAGGGCCCCTGGGCAGGTCTTACATCTTTGATTTATTCTCCCCAAGACCTGGGTGCTGGCTCCTCTCTGAGCTGTCTGCTGCAGGCCTCTCAGCCCCCAAATCTTCAGGAGGAAGCGAAGCAGGGGGCGGGAGTCAATGCCAAAGAAGGTGCCGGCTACCAGTTGCTGGGACAGGGAAGGGCAGAGGTAGCACACCCAGACTAATTGACACGTGCTGCCCCCCCCCCCCCCCCCCCCCCCGTGCCTCCATGCCAACACTGCCCTCTGTAGGGGGCACTGGGCTGGCCAGGGCAAGAGCTGACCCTGCAGCTGTCGGCACTGGCCAGAAATGGAGAAGGGATAGAAGACCTTTCCTAACATAGCTCCTCTCATCGCTGTTTGAAGCTAGAGGACAGAGGGAATTTTATCAGTTCTGAGACAGTGTAGGGCCTGGGGCTAGAGGCCCTCTGGCTTTGGCCTGGTTCCCCTCAGTGGTGGCCAAGGAATGACTGGGGTCAGGCAAGTTGGGGCCCAGGTTCCGGCAGCCAGAGCCCGGAGTGGTCAGATCTGGGATGGCGGCAGTGTTTGGGGGCAGGTACACCCCTCTCTGCACTCTTTCCTCTCTTCTGACGGAGCCATTGGTGCTGTCAGGGTCGGCCCTGCAAGGAATTTGCATTTAAGGAAACCTAATGCAGGCAATGCCTGCCCCAAGAAGATGATGCTCCAGGAGGCTCGCTCTAGACAAAAGTGAGGGTGGAGTTCATCTTGTGTCCAAGCTGCCTTGGCTGGGGCCCTACCTGCAATTAGCCTTGGACCCGTACTTCTCCTGAGCCTTCGCGTTCCTCCATCCTGCCTCGGTGACCTTGCACAGGGCCTTTAGGGGCCAGGACTGCCTGCCCCTCCTCTGGGAGGGAGAGTACATCCCGGGGCAGGGGGGGGGGTGTGGATAACCCCGCCGTACTGCCAGTCCTGCTCAGGGAACAGAACTTCCAGAGCTGGTCCCCATTAATCAAGGGCAAGTCCAGAGCTGCTGTCTGGCTGGGAGGCACGTCCGGCCTTGACTCTGCCTGGAGCAGTCACAGCTGGTCCTGTCTCCCTCTCCATCTTCCTCTCTTGGGCTCTCCAGCCGGGCTGTATGTGGCGGAGTCACATACATGGTACACAAGCATCCACGAAGATGGACTAGAAAACTCTTATCCCTGGCGGAGCTTCAGGTGCTGTGAACCTACTGAGGGGGAAACACTGCCATCAGCACCTCTGACCCAGACTCACAGGCCATGACCCTGACTCTGAGCTCTGCCACCTCTCCTTGGCGCTCTCCTCACCCAATGCCAGTCAGGGCTGGCGCGGCCCCCACGACGGCCGGTCTGAGGATGGTCCCTGCGCTCAGAGCCCCTGGCGGGACCTCATGCTGATAGTCCTGTCTTCTTTGCTCTTTCTCTCCTCCCCAGGTGGTAGCCAACTCTCCAGCCAAGTTAGTATCAAAGGAAAGCATGCGCGTGCGCTTGTGTGCCTGTCCTCGCATGCGTCCGCGTGTCAGTTAGCCTGGACAGCGTGCGCCTGTGTCAGCATGGGTACATGCGTGTGCATGTGTGAGTGGGGGTGCATTCGCGTCCCTGAGCGAGCCTGCATGTGTGTGGAGCTACAAGTGTGGAGTGGAGGCCTCGGGGAGGGGTGCTAGGGCTCTGTCTGATGTGCCCTTTCCATTCCCCATTTCCTGCTGCAGCTGCTTAAGACCAGCAGGCCGGCTCAGGGGTGCGGGGTGCGGGGGGTGGAGCGTGTGCCGAGCTGATGCTGGGTTCCACGTGAACCTGAAGACAGTTCTGTCCTGACGGACTCGCAGAAGGGCTGCGCCTGACCTTCTTTGCCCCAGGAGTGCATTCATCTGTTGGAGGGAAAAGCCTCGATTGGCAGAGACTGGCGGCCACACAGCTAGTTGGACTAGAGGGGGACTGAACAGACTGAGTCCTGTTCCAAGGAAGAAGCACTTGCACTGAAGCATCTGGAGGATCAGAGCCCTGGGCAACCGAGAGGGTAGCCAGCAGGACGAGCCCCTTCGTGGAGGAACCTTACTCAGAATCCCCATGGGTGCCCAGTGGGGCTGCTTTTCGCCTTTGGGGCATTCTGGACCCTGCTTGGGCTGCCGCTGCCTTTCACGCGTGGCCCAGCTCCTGTCGCCTACCCCCAACCCCTTTTGTCTCTGCTTCCTTGCTGATGTGGTGAGAGAGCTTTCAATGCCTGGCGCCCCCTGCTGACCCTGAGAAGTGGCTCAGGCTGAGCTGAGAACTCCCAGGAACTGGGAAAGCCAAAATGGGCAAGGAAAACCTTCTGCAAAGGGCTTTGGGGAGGGTCCTGAGGATTTTCCCTACCAGACCCAGCTGTCTGCAGTTCAGGGGGCTTGGGTAACTTACCTGGGATC